AGGAGCTTTGATTGGGCTCCCATCCAAAGTGTAAAAGAGTGCTTCGGTGTAATGTAGTGTCTCCATATTACGTGTGCCCAGATTTTCGGAGTACCCTTCGGACGGAAAAAATGATAGGCGTCTGCCACTGAAAAATTCATGTCGGATATACCCAAAATCTGACCGAGATTCAGCCTGTCAATATCCATAGAGGCCTGTCCAGAATGTTGCTGTGCAAGGATCAAATTTCGGATTTCCAGAAGCCTTTTGAAAAGCGGAGAATGGTCCTTGCGTGACTGAATAACCCAAATGTTGGCTCCTCTGATATAAACCTGATTTATCCATTTAATCCAAAGAGAGTCTTTTTTATGATGGATGTTCCATAAGTCTTTGGTCAATAATGCTGAGTTCCAGCTCTTCATATCCCTGAAACCCAGACCACCCTCCCTTTTGGGTAAGCATAAATCCTTCCAAGCCACAGGAGCTTTTTTAGCTCCCCACAAAAAATTCCGACAGAGTGAGGTGATTCTCACGATAATAGTGGATGGAATAGGGAGTAAAGATAACCAAAAACACTCTACCCCTTGGATCACTGCCCTGATTAATTCTGCCCTCCCCGCATATGATAGGGAAGATTGTGTCCAAACATTAATATATGCAGCAATTTTATCCAGAAAAGGTGCATAGGAGCTAACTTTTAATTTCTCCGAGGCAAGCGGTATACCCAAATATCTGAAGGGCATTGTACCCTTGGGAATATTAGTGAGTGATTGAATATCCACAAGTTCCTGGCCATGAACACCTGCCGTGAACAAACTGGACTTAAAATTATTCATTTTCAGGCCCGAGACATCCCCAAATTTTTGAAGGCAATCCATCAAAATTTTGACTGAGCCTGTGTCTCCTCTTGCAAAAAACATAATGTCATCCGCGAATGCTAGATGTGTGATTCTTAGTGGAGCACATTTCGGATGATAGTTGAAATCACTATCCTTGGTGTTAGCATTTATCATTCTGGATAAGTACTCAATACACAAAACAAATAAAAAAGGTGAAAGGGGGTCACCTTGTCTTAAACCTTTGTATCCTTTAAAAAAACCGTGAATACCTCCATTCAGTGCTACTGAGTATGAGGTGGTAGTGATGCACTCCATAATCCATGTGACAAGAATTGGGGGGAATTGTAAGCCCAAGAGTATATGTCTGAGGAAATCCCAATCCACCGAATCATAAGCCTTGCAAAGATCAATCTTTTACAACTTTTTTTGTTTACG